TCTTCCCGCGGGTTTCGTACATCGACGTCAGCAGCACTCCTAGGTAAAAGGATTTTTTGATATTGGGTGGCAGCGAATACGCAGTAATATTAAGAATTTTTGGGGATTGGGGACGGAGAGTAGAATAGGACCTTCATTAACCTCACACGGTGGAACACAACACAAGCATTGTTCCACGCCAGTTTGGTGTCAGACATTGACATCATTTTGGTCGAGCTGGCCCATTCGTACCGAAGCATTAATCTATCATCATCATCACATCAGCCATAGAACGTCTACTGCTGAACATAAACCTCCCCCAATGACGTCAATCCGCAAGGTGAACAGACGACCTTATGAAGGTCGCAGGGAGCCGCTGGATGCAGGTCACTTTCAACCAGCCTATTTGGTGTCAGCCTATCAGAGTGGACGCAAGTGCGACCAGGCAAGGGATCTCGGGTTCGATTCTCGGGTCAGACAAAGTATTACTGGGTTTTTTTTAAGAAAACGCAGTAGTAGCACGGAGTCTGAAATCGTGCCCAGTATATGGCAATAGGCTCACTGTGAAATGAAACACTCACAATGAAAAGTGGGTGTTACGTTGTACAATATGGCATTCAGTGCCGTAATGAGTACCTCTGCTTCCTCTTCGGGGATAAAAGGTGTGATGCTATGCTATGCTACTAAATAAATATGGAAATGAATTTATGGTGAGTCGTTTATTTCGAGGAGGCCCATGGTTCAGCGACGCAGTACCATAGACTGTTGGTGTTAATTGTTTTGTGCCTGTTATTACCACAACCTAAGTTAGGCTCGTAGTAAAATTTTTGAAACCTTTGGATTAGTAATTGTAGCAACTGTCAAAGAAAACAATAATTTTAATATCTGTATGAAAATATTTTTTATTTGTATGTATGTTTAAGTACCGGAGGAGTCTTGAATGACTTCACTTATAATCTATAGTAGTTAGTAGGTAGTAGTTTTATAGTTAGTGAATTGCGCCTACAATAAAATAAAAAATAATAATAAAATAAGCCTTTATTACTGAGGTTACAAATTTACAATTTAGTCTCTATTATTATACTATAAATCAGTACTTTTATCCCCAGCTTGCTCTTCGACATAGGCCTCCTCTAAAGATTTCCAGTTTTCCCTATCCCTCGCTATTCTCATCCACTCTGGTCCAGCAGTTTTAATTTGATCATCTTCCCAACGCTTTGGTTGTCGACCTTTGCTCCTTTTCCCATCTGGGATACCATTCTGATATTGTCTTTGTCCATTTCATATTCCTCTCTCTTATCATCGTCTACAATATGGGGTATCAAATGTAGATATTTTTAAGAATACCCAAATTAAGCTTTGTTGCTTCGAGTTTGAATTTTGGTGTATTGAGGATTTAAAATTTGTACTAAAATCACTTTTAAAACCTGTACTACACTTTGCTATTACGGAATGTTTAATGCAATGAGTAAGTAAACAGAGCGAAGTTTCATGTGATATTTATTCCCTAAAAACTAATTCAGTGCCGTGAGTCGAATATCTTGATCGTTATATCAGAATGACTTAACAATTTCGACGGATTTTAATTTTATCATCATTTTTAAGATAGTTTAGCGGGGTATTTTCGCAATTATATTCAAATGTGTTACAACTAACGCCATCTATTATGGGTAGTACCGAACTAATCGTTTAAAATTAATCATTAATTGTAATTTGTCCTATCTTATCAACCCTTTATTCTACAATGAAGTAGGACTAAGTAACCACTCCATACTGCAGTAGGGAACATACTTTTTGTACTAGGGACTTGTTGTAACTTAATCAATTGAGATCTCGTACTGAACATCCCCAAAATTCATTCATGCTAAACATCAGAAATAAGGTCTATAAGCGAGTCGAGAGCGGTCACAGGTGACCGCTTGGGAATTGACGCCTCATCCAATTAGGTCCCGAGCGTACGGCGCATCGCATTCCGCGCGCGTCTCAGAGAGCCATCAGACCACTACGGATAGGGCTCAATAGGGCTGATGCCGATACGGAGCCGCGGAGGACTTCCTACACAATTTGATCAAAAACAGTAGTCGTTGTAGCGTGGCCTTTTTTTCTGAGGGCAAAATCATTAACGAACGACTTCCCACCCAGTGCTATACGTGGAAGGGAATGTCCGACGCATACTGACTAAAAGCCAACCCGGTTCAACTCCTGCTCCGTGTTGGGCCATTGTAACTATATCATGACATTACTTGAAAGAGTCGTATGGAGGCCCATCCAATATTTATATCCAGGCGGATATAAATATTGGTAACGGATATTCAAGGTTCCATGGTAAGCGTTCCTGTCACTTTCAAATTGTTTATATGTATATACTTTCTTGCCTTATAAAGAGTGGTGTTACCTACATTACAATAATACGTAGATGTCTGTGTCTGTGTAGCCTGGCAAATGAATATTTGTTTATTGTAATATCCTATAGGGACATAGGAATAATCGAACTTCAGGATAGAGGCACAGAGTGGCACCCATCAAAATATTTGCAATGTTATCTATATTTTTATCATTTCATTAGGGAGATTAACTTTTTCGTCTATCACTGATTACAGTGAAAATCGATATCATATTAATACGGATGAATAAAATAATAATATAATCAAGTTGAGGCACCATTCGAATACATTTCATACATTATTGGTCTCAGTTCTCGTCAAACATACCTCGGTGCCTCAAGACGAAAATCTATAATCAATCTAGCGATGATATATGAAACCCAAACGAGGTCTCTCGCATTGGACCTTATAAAGAAGCTGAAGGTCGTTTTAGTAAGCAATGGAAATAGCTATGCTCGGAGTTTCTTTGCGAGATCAAATCAATAATGAGGAAATTTGCAAACCAACAAAAGTCGCCGATATAACCCAAGTGATTAGCGAGTTGAAGTGGTAGTGGGCAGGGCGCGGAGAATCGGCGGCCGCTGGAGCAAACAGGTTCTCGATTGGTGATCACGTACCAGCAAGCGCAGCCTAGGACGGCCACTTACATAATGGACAGACGATCGGGTGCTAACTCTTGAAACCGATCTCAATGTCAATGCAATTTCAATTCAATAAAATCTCAATAATTATTCAATGTCAAAATTATACAACCCCTATAGTAGCTTTTAAAATAGCATTCAGAGTACGGAATATAAAGCCAAACTCAATACCATTAAATTCATTAAATATTCACGCAATATGGATGCAATAGGCGCTAGTATTGCAACTCGAGAGTACGAAATTTCACAATACCAATGTCGATCGATCGGAATTGGATTTAAGAGCCCAATGATTAAGGACACAGGGAACCGCTGGATGCAGGTCGCTTCCATTCCTATCTGGAAGTCATTGGGGGAGGCCTATGTTCAGCAGTGGACTTCTTAGGGCTAATATGAGTATGATGATGATGATCGGTTTAAACTAAATTATTCCACGAAGAACTTGTCAGAGAAGTATGGTTGTAGTGTAGTGTATTGGGTGGCAGATTCTATGTCCAATCTACTGAATTTTCCCATCTTACTGTCTTTAAAATAAGAACTATTAACTGGTCTAAATAAAATAGTTTTCATAGGTTATAAGTAGTTCACATAATCTGTCGAGGAACTTTGTAATAAATTTTCCTTCACGGCCCTTTTGGGTATACGGATTTGATTAACATAATACGGTGAATAATGTTTGGATAATTTATTTATTAATTTATTGTAAGACTTAGTACAATAACAAATGTACAGGCGGACTTAATGCTTTGGGCATTGTCTCACAGTCGACCTTAAGGTGGTGCAGAGATGAAAGTGGCAGGTGACTAAGCAAATGTTGTAATAAATAACTATACTATACTATATAAATACTTAAATACTTAGATACTATATATACAGTCATAGATATGTATGTACACATACATCCAATACTTATATCATATAATTAATAGTACTATATACATACATACATACATACATACATACCCAGGTAAAAACTAAATAACATAATAAGAGACAACTTATGTTTGAATCGAATCCGCCAGATAATTGAGGTATAGGTTTAGATGTTTCCAATAGTGCCTTTAAACATTGCATGGTAGGTACTCACAAGAGTTTTAAATGTAACCAACTACATTATAGATTGTTTGTCACGCTATAGTTTACGACAATAGCGCACTATAAGTATCATATTTCTTTAGCGGTGTTTTTTTATCTCCGGTGATGAGTGACTGGAGGCCCAATTACCCCCCTCCCCTTCCCCAATCCCCCCAATCCCTGAATCCTCAACGATGCTTAAACTCATAATCCCCAAAAGGCCGGTAACGAACTTGTAACGCCTTTGGTGTTCCAGGTGTCCATGGGCAACGCCGATTGCTTACCGTCAGGTGATCCGTCTGCTCGTTTACCGGCTTATGCCATAAAAAAATTCCCTCGCCTCCTCTTGCCGCTGGCGCTAACGCCAGATCTACGAGCATAACGACCCGTTTTGTAGAATAGACTAAAAATATATTTGGCTACCAATCGCGTCAAACTATGTCTATTGTGCTTATATTTATTTATTTTGAGTTTTCTAAGTAGACACGCTTGTAAAAGACATTTGGCTAGCACCGCTGGCTACCTCTGGCGCCCGCTTCTTTCCCAATTACACCTTAGCGCACATGCACTAACCTAACCTAATATTCAAACGATAACGCAACGAGAAAAGCTTCACAATCCACCATTTTGTGTAAACATTTTACGTGGAAGGTCTATCACTCCCTCTGTAATTATGTTGTGGTGGCCCAGAGGCCTAATATGCCCAATTTTAATGCATGACGGTGCGGTTTTGAATCCCGGCAAGTATCGATAGAATGTTTGTATAAAGATAGGGCCAATTCTACAAAATTTTCAGGCAGGTATCTGTTTATCAAAACCACAGTTAAAAAGTAAGCAGTGATGCTAGTCTTGCAAAAGAAACGATTAAATAAAACACAATGTATATAAATCTCAATTTTTATAAACTGTAATTTATGAAAGTTATTATTAGAATTAGAACTAAATAGTACAAAGTTCAGTTTGTATTTACAGACAATTAACTATCTAAGATAAGATAATACAGTATTTGATTTAAATATTATTTTTAATTAAAACTAGAGATGTCACGGTGTTTAAAAGCTTGAACATTATGACTGTAGAACAAAAAATTGTTGAAAAAGAAAAATTAAACACAAAAAAAAAATAGTCGCAGACTTAAAGATAAATGTTTTTAATTTTGGCTCTAAAGATATTCAGATGGTTCATCACCATCGGAAACGAAAACTATTGCAAGATTTGAGAGAAGTTTAACTAACTATAAAAGCATGCCAGATACTTTAATAATTACTAATCGTCTTTACGATTTAATACAATGAAATTATAATGTTGATTCAGATCTAGGATTTCTAAAAGGACTAATATTTTCAATAGCTTCAAACACTTACAGTTACGGCTGAGTAACCAATAATATTAAACTAAGTAAAGTAAGATACGAAATTATTTTAAAGGTTCTCGTAAATAAAGAATGCTTTTCATTGGAAGTTAAATAGCAAGTACAACTTTATAACAAAAAATGAAATTAGATTCTTCTTTCCATATAAAGTTCAATTAAGGTACACGTAATCGTTCGAGGGTGGTTGACTAGTTTATAGCCACGGCTGGGGCTCACAAATATGAGCAGAATGAACTACTTGACATCTCAACAGCCAGCCATAAGTAAGCCTTTTTGTATCTATTCAAATTATTTTTTTATGTCAAATAACAGTTAAAATTAATCATTTTTAAAAAGGTAATCAAAAAGGCTAGACTGAATAAGTATTTTTGGTGTATATACATTTTACAATAACATTGTATGACGCTAAAAATCGTAGCTTAAATTCTTCGTGCAAAGTTACGCTATTAAAATAATAACATAAATTTATTTAATTCACAAATTTTGTAAGTATAAAATTTCTATACTACCTACTCAGATTGTGAAGAATGATTATACTGTACAATTGGGGTCATGGTAATGACTATTTTGTTCTAGAATAATCTTAATTTAGTTTAGCTGCTTGATCCGCTGCCCGAAGCCAGTCGACGATGGTATGGTAGTTCCGATCCCTCCACTGCACGTTTGAGGAGATGGTCTCCAACACTTGCTGAACTGGACGACCCAAGTCACTGCAGGATTCCATCACGAATCTCTTTAACTGAAAAAATATAAAAATGTTGTGTTACATTACAATTTTCGTTGGATACAAGTTGCAGATTGTAGAGGCCTTTATCGAACTTTACTACAATCGAATTGGGTCGATGAAACTATTCTATATATTCCATCCCATCAGACCCCGTGAGTTCGCGTAAAGCAGGTTTGAATAAAAAATGTCAACGTAAAATATTGTATTTTACGTTGACATTTCGTTGGCTTTATATTCGCCCTCCCAGGGTTTCGGATCTTTACTAAGATTATGGCTAACAAGACTTCGCTGACGAAGTTACCATCACGTCTGTTTCAAGTATCCCTTGGCAGAGGAGCTCGATTTTTGGTAATAAGCGAACATTTGTTACGAATTCCTCATAATAAGATGTTTGTCCTTTGCCAATGTTATAATAATAATATATTAACATAATATAATACTACATAATATTTTGTCTGATCCCGAAATACAATTATCGAAATAATGAAGCCAAAGAAAACCAAAACCGGATTAACTGTTTTAATTAAGAGATTATTAATATAGTAATTATCATCATCCTGTATAATTAAATATATATAATGCAATGCGAATTATATTGACTAGTCATCCTGATAAAGATGAGAATAAAGTGTAATTTTTCAAATGATGACATTTTTCGCGCATCACTTTCTGTTATGCGTCATCAAAAAAGATAATATAACAATCAAAATATTTAGGAAATAACTGAGGATTGTCATCTCATAATTCCTAAATCTTTTAACTCGTCGAGTACCGTCATTATAGACACAATTATAGATCAATAGGTTGCGGTCACCGGTGACCGCTTGGTGTTTGACAGTTTAAATAAATAAAAATTAAGTTACTGTCGTTAGTCCCGCTAAAACTCGAGAATAGCTACACCAATTTGACTAATTTTAGTCTTGAAATATTCGTGGAAGTCCAGGGGAGGTAAAAGAATAGAAAATTAACTTTTAGGCAGTACAAAGTTTGCCGGTTCTACTAGAGTAGAATTAAATTGATATTTAACAGTATTTAGTATAGAAGAATCGTCACAAATCGGAAGTTATTCCTCAGTTAAAATTTAACTGAGCATTGAAAACCCTACCCCTTAACTTACCTAACCCTTAATCAATTCTGTTATACATTAGTTTAAACCAGTTAGTTTTTTTGTTACAAGGGAATCAAGTGAATCTATTTCTGAAACAAATTCATTTATAATAAGGTTAGGACTGCCTCGTTAGCCGAGTTGTCGCAAGTGCGACTGCCAGGTAAGGGGTCTCGAGTTCGATTCCCAGGTCGAGAAAAGTAGGTATACTGGGTTTTTAAAAAATTCTCAGTAGTAGCACGGAGCCTAGAATTGTATATGGCAATAGGCTCACCCCCTTTTACATGGGACTCATAACATAAATAGTGAATAGTGGGTGTTACATTGTACAGTGGCATAATGTGCACCTCTGCCTACCCATTCGGGGATAAAAGGCGTGATGTTATGTTATGTTATCTACCTTATTATAATCAAGATGCATTAAATTAAATCAATAAATTATGAATTGTTTCTCTTTAAGTCAGTTTATCAATCATCATTTTAGATTACTCTAAACACTAGTAATTGCCAATCATCACGTAACCATAGAAACGACTTTTGGACGAAATGCATTGTTACAACTATCCATTCAAACTTCATTTCTAATAAACAAACATTAAAATAATACCTCTTCATATTCATGTGCTTGATTTAGCCGTCTGGTGACCAGTTTAACAATCAAATTGATCGTGGACAGGGATCCAACACTGAAAATAAAACAGAATCATGTTGAAAGAACTCATAAGAACAGAGTCATATTTTTTTACAATTAATTGCATAAATGGTGTAATCCTACACCAAATAGTGGAAGGTAAAACTTCAAAACTAGGTATGTACACTTAAATATTTTAATAGAAAAGCGAATCAACTATTCTGTACAATCAAGTAAAGAACGGGTTGCAAACTTGAAAATATACGTCACAGAATAATTTAAATTTGGGAAAAGCCAGTAAACGAGTAAACGGATCACCTGATGGTAAGGAACGACGACGTCGACGTCGGCTATGAACATCTAGAACACCAGAGGCGTTACAAGTGCGTTACCGGCCTTTTGGGGATTAGGAGTTTGAGGATCGTTGGGGATTGAGGGATTGGGAAGATTGGGAAATGGGAGGGTAATTGGGCCTCTGGTAACCTCACTCCCACGACGAAACACAACCAATTTTACTATACCTTATAGCCCTGCTTTGTACATTGTTTTCAAGTTATAGCATAAGTAGGTAAACGGGCTGACAGATCGCCTGATGGTAAGCAATCGGCGTCGCCCATGGATATCTGGAACATCAGTGGCGTTACACGTGCGTTACCGGCCTTTTGGGGTATAGGAGTTTGAGAATCGTAGGGGATTCAGGGATTGGAGAGATTGGGGAAGGAGAGGGGAGTAATTGGGCCTCCGGTTACCTCACTCCCACGACGAAACACAAAGCAAGCGTTGCTTCACGTCGGTTTTCTGTGAGGTCGTGATATCACTCCGGTCGAACCGAAGCATGGCTCTACCACACTTAACCACGAGAAAAGGACCAAGACAATCTCAAATTGTGAAGATTTTGTATAGGCAATATGTTGCTCCTACCTATTAATAAAGGGAAGGATAAAGATTAATTAGGTACTAACAATGATCGAAGTCTTTGCCAATTAGCTCTGATGTAGTTGAACGCTATTGGCTGTCCGATGCCAGTGCCAGCAACCGCTGAGAACACACGGACGATATCCTGCTTCCTAATACCGCTGTCGTTGCGCAGTGACATCTCTAAATACCTGGAAAAATAATTAGCAATTTTATTTTTTGAAGACAAAAAGTATTTTAGATTAGTTAGTGGTAATTAAACTTCGGCCCATTAAATATAATATAAAAAGATATATATCCCACCTAAAATTAGAAAACTTATTAATACTACAAATACGTTCGTTTCGTGATTCGTGCCGAAATAAACCCTCAAAAGTTTAATAGAGGTATATTGTGCTATAGCCAACCATTACGAACCACTGCGACAATAGTGAGGTTTCCGAAAACTAATTAATGTAACACAACATCATGCCTTTTATCCCTGAAGGGGTAGGCAAAGGTGCACATAATGACACTTAATAATAATAAACAATGTAAAACCCTATTTCACTATTTATGTTATGAGTCCCATGTAATATGGAGGTATTGTCATATACCGGGCACATTTCCAGCCTACGTGCGACTACTGAGATTTTTAAAAACCCAGTAATACTTTGCACGACCCGGGAATCGAACCCGAGACCCCTTGCCCGGCAGTCACACTTGCGACTACTAGGCCAAAAGGAGGCAGTCTGAAATATGTATGTGTTCTAAAAATCCATTCTGTTAGAGACCAGTATTGGTTTAACCCATTCAGTACTTAGTAATTTAATGATTCATTGATTTGTACTGTCAAAGAAATATTTTTTATTTCTTTCTTTCATTTCTTACCTACAATTTTTCTCGTCAATGGTCTTAATAGATATTCACAGCACTCACCGATGAAGCAATGAAGGAGACCTCGTGCAACCCAACACAGACAGCAGTCGGTGTCGCTCTGAAGGTGCAGTTGCCACCTTGAACCGGTCCCATGCAAAAGTCCACTCTCTCACGCCGCCAGCTCGTACTCCGACGCAGTACACTATCCCACGCAGATCAACATGAATTCTGGAATACAGAGGTTATCCATTGACTGCTGGGTTACAACTTTTGGTTAAATGACTTAACAGCATCGCCAACAGCTCATGACAGTAATTCACTATTGTACTAAGGACCTCCTTTACAAAATAGGGGTTTATTAACATGACATGGTTGCAAGAACATCACAAGTTTCTTCTAGCCTTCATCAACAGCCTATAAATGCCCACTGCTGAGCAAAGCCTCTTCTCATATGGAGGTTTAAGCATTAATCACCACGCTTGCTCAATGCGGGTTGGCGATTACAAACTTATAATTAGAAATTATAAGCCCAGGTTTCCTCACGATGTTTTCCTTCACCATTTGTCAGTGGTGTCTAGATAATCTTAGAAAGTACGTATAACTCAGAAAAAGTCACATTGGTACTTGCCGTTGGTAGGTTTAGAACCTGTACCTTTATGCATGAGAAGCGAGTGTCTTAAACTCCCGGGCCACCACGACATTCTTCTAGCCTTGCAACTGTTTAATGTCTCTATGTAGGTACAAATATACATCGATCTACTTACTCGTTATTTGAATCAGGATTTGGAGCAAGCATCCAGTTGGTGTACATCCTAACAGCATTCTCCAAGCAGTCAGGGTGTTCGAAGTGGCAGGCTGAAGCCAGAAGGTCCACTCGGTACTGCGAGGTGATGACGCTCTCATTGGGAGACACCTCCCATCCAACTTCCTTTACAGCATCGTTCAGAAGTCGAAGGACATAATGCTGAAAGAATACAATATTTATAGTATTTATATGGGATAAATGAGGAGGCTGATCACCCGATGGTAATCAATTCACACATCCATGAACATCCTAAACTGCAACACCAGAGGAGTAAATTAAGTTTACAGCCATTTGGGGATTAGAGATTTGAGAATTGTACATAGGGCCTTCGCAACTTCATTCATACGAAACACAACAGAAGTATTGTCGCTTGTTCGAATATTACTACAGTAATTATTTTAGCTATGACTGGGAAGTGGTGTTTTACCTACTCTAATATTTAATTTTTTTGGTAGATTCACTACTCCCATTGATAATGTATCTCTCTATTTTGTCATTAAATATAGGATAAAATCTTTCTTAAAAAAAATAGATTAAGTCATTATGGTGGAAAGTAAAGGAAAGTGCTTGAATACCTAGATCCCTACACAAATATTTACAACCTTTGAACGAATACCAATCTTGTTATGACTCAAACAAAATAAGTGCCTACGTACTTTGATGAGATATGATCACAATCGGATTATAAGATTACGCACCGACATTGATAATAATTTATCAGGACTACATTAATGTACAGAAAAATATTACAATTTAATTCATTTTCGATACAACTAACGCCATCTATTGGTAGTTTTATAGAATAAATTGTTATTTAGCTTGTTAACGAGAGTATTTATGCAAATCTCAGCCAAATTCTGTTGTAAAAAAGTAGTTAATTGACTAACTACTGGTTTGAGATCGATTTCCAACAGGAACTCGTTACAACTAATGTCAATAATCGATATACTATATCCGCAAATTTTTGTTTTACCTCGGGTATAAATTTCGGCCGTAAGTTTAATTCTGAATCACAGTATCTAAGCAGTAAATCAAGATTGAAATTAAGAACGAACTAAGAACAACTAGCTACTGCTCGGTGCCTATTGATTGTAACCGTGATATTTTAGCCTTAGCCTATAGCCTTCCTTGATTAATGGACTACCCAAAAAAAAAACAAAATTTCAAATCGAAATAGTAGTTCTTGAGATTAGAGCGTTAAAACAAACTTTTCAGTTTAACATCATAAAGTATAAGATTTGTTAAATAATTGCCCGGTTGGTGCGGTGGCTGGGCAACCGGCTGCCGTGCAGCGTGTCACGGGTTCAATTCCCTCATGGAACAACCCTTAGTGTAATCCACAATTTGTTGTTCCTGGTCTGCGTGTCATGAGATGTGAATTTGTATGTTTGTAAACGCACACACGACACAGGAGAAAATCCAAGTGTGCCCAACGTTATTTAAAAAAAACTCCGTAGATATTCGCAACATTAAGTTTAAAATAAATATTACTTAAAGTTTATTTTGTATATAGAGGTAGAATCATAATCATAAGTCAATATAAGTGCAATGGAGAATTATTATTAATTCTTAGCTAAGTAGCACATAGGTATAGGTATTAAATCCTACTTGATAGTTGATTACATGATATATAATGTTATTCAAATATGTCGAACTTGATCAATTTAAATATTTCCTTTAAGACGCATAATTATCGAACTAGAGGTATAATCCGATAACTTGTAAAATGCACTGTTATAAACAAAATTTGATAACGATGAAAAAAACAACAAATAATTAGGTACAATTACTTCAAATAAATTTGTACATAAATTAAGTTACTTGATATCTTTATTGTTTTCCTACACAGTGCAAATGACAGGTAAGCCTAGTTTTGATCCGAGATAATCTGAGTCCGGTTAGCAACAGTTAAAATATTTACACCGGTATGGTATAGAGATAATATATTTTGCTTTTTTACTACTTTAAGTTTTACTGTACCTGTAATAATATCTCTAGACACTATTTTTTTTTAAATTACACTTATCTCGGGGCACGGCTGTGCCCTTTTTTTTAGGGGGGGAAAATCGTCCAATTACTTCTCCCGCCGGATGAGGCGGGAGGGAGTGTCAGACTCTTACTAACTAAAAACCACCCCGTTCCTACTCCTGCACTTTGAGCCGGAGCCCCGGTAACCGGTTAAGTCTTTCGCGGCTCCGTATCGGCATCAGCCCTGTTAGACCCCATCTGTGGTGGTCTGATGGCTCCTTGAGGCGCGCGTGGAACGCGACGCTCCGTACGCTCGGGCCTGGTTCTAGTCGGGCGGCGAGTCACCCGTGCTCGCCGTCCGCAGGCCCGTGCTTACGGTGGCCGGAGATCGTCTCACGATCCCTGACGCCCGGAGTGTCTCTCGCGACGGCCGGGTCGTGCGAAGGTTCGTTCCCTCACGCGCTCCGCCTCCTCCTTAGCTAGCATGACTGCTTCGCAGAAGGAGGAGACGGCATCCCAGTCCCCCACGCTCTGTACCATGGTCTAAACCGGCTGTGCCTCTGCCAAGGAAGCACTGCCGTCCCATTCTTTACTGGAACCATTGCGCCGCATTTTTAAGTCCCTATTTAAGAAGCTCTGGATATGACCAGAACGAAAAATTTTCATTATCAATTAAGCTACAATTACATACTTTAAATCCAAAATTTCAAGTTTGCAAATCATTGAATCCCAAAGTTATGCGAAATCAAAATTTTACATTAAATGACACTCACTCACTCATGATCATCTGGAACACCAGAGGCGTTACAAGTGCATTACCGACCTTTTGGGGATTAGGAGTTTGAGGATCGTTAGGAATTCAGGGATTGGGGAGATTGGGGAAGGGGAAGATAATTGGGCCTCCGGTAACCTCACTCATACGATGAAACACAACGCAAGCGTTGCTTCACGTCGGTTTTCTGTAAGACCGTGGTATCACTCCGGTCGAGCCGACCCATTCGTGCCGAAGCATGGCTCTCCCACACTTATTTTTTTTTCATTAACCATTTTAAAATAATTGGTACTTCTACATTAACGGCTATAACGAAATAATAATCAGTTACAGGCTAAGTCAGTCATGGAATTAATAAAATCTTTAACTGAAGGAGATTACAGAGAAATAATATACTGATGGTTAACTAGACAAGTCCTTAGGGCGCCAGGTTACGACGTGGCGCCGCGCCGCGAGACAAGCGTTCTCGAGAACGTCATGTTCTAAAAAAAATAGAGGTGCCTAGAACGCCCTCTAATTTTTAGGCAACAATGCACATTCAACGTAGTTTAGCAATGTGTTGAAAAATTGCATAGTGGAATGAAAGCATAAGGCTTTGAAACCTGGAAAGTACCATTGTGACTTTTCCAAGTTATTATATTATTATGTATGTGCTCTCTTAGATGTTAGACATCATTATGTAAATACCTAAAGGAAAATAGATCATGAGGAAAGTAAGATACTTTTAAAATAATTTCTGTTGTCATGATGACTGGCAGTACCTATTTCAAGACGGTTCATAACATCCGGAAACAAGTGAATAATTCATTTATCGTAATTAAGATATGTATCACATTTTTTAAGAATTTATTGACTTTAGCGGAACTAAAGGATTAGTATTAACAGTTTCAGGACTATTAAAACTATTAACTCCAACATTATCTTATCATAGTTAATACCGGTTTCTCAACAATGACAACTATTAAATTTATTTTCGAAATCTTACCATTGCCACAGGTATTAAGACAATAAAAGAAAAAAAAAATGTGTTGAAATTAATCTAATGGGTTTGTCAATACCTATGATTGGAATAATTTGACCAATGAAAAATTCTATTTTGTTCTCTGAGTAACCTCATTCACACACTCAATCTTTTTTCACGCATGTTTTGCTTGAGGTCATTTTGATGTATCACTGCGGTCAAGCCGGCCCATTTGTGCCGAAGCATGGCTGCCCCAATCCAATAAGTCCCATGGTGAATTTAGAAACAAAAAATGGTCAATTCGACGAAGTAGGTTGAGCTAGCATTTGTTTTCTAAATCAATTTAATGTAGGTATATCATTAATAAGTAGGTAAAAAGCATATCGACTTACAACCATGCGTATCTTTTGATAACCTTAATCAATGTTAGTCTAATTTTTTTATCGTTATCATAACCGATACAATCTAGAATTATTAATTGTAATAATCTTTATTAAGTACATGAAATATCATCCAGTTTTTGTAGTTCAACGATTATCTTACACTAATTTACGGAGTCATATCAAAGACTGTATATCTTTGACGTCTGTAGATAAATTTTTAGTGCAATTAGCTTTGGAGTTTTTTGAACCAATAGATGTAGAGGTATAAGAAAGTTTCACTATTTTTATAGAAAAACGGGCAGGGCAAACAATTAAATGAACACGCTGGTCTCTTGATGAACACCTGTGGTACCAGAAGAGTCACGCCTTGCCGACCTTTGAGGAAGAAGTACACTGTTTTGGCTAAACCAGAGGTTTCATTGTTTGGACTGGTCTCAGAATCAATATAAATACAAATCAGTACAATGTATAAGTAATAATTTATACGACAAAATAGGTAAATATTCTTCATTCTCTTAAGTTTTACGTTTATTAGATAAATCCTATTGCCTATCGAATAATGTCCTATTTAAAAAAAATGATATATATGTCAATCAATAAACTACACAACTAAATACAAAATGAACATAACGTGAAAGTTATGCATACTAAAACGTATAAAATAATATTTTTTTAGTATCAGTAACGCCATCTATTGTTAATCCTCTTAATTTATTTTTTTAATTCATATCGAAATTGGTACTACTAACGCCATCTCTTTTTTATTTGAATGAACTTTTTTGCAAGTCCTAATAAAGCTAATAGGAATGCCGTAAACTAATTAACTCGTCGAGTACCGGTTTTGTAGACACAATTATAGAACAATAGGTTGCGGTCACCGGTGACCGCTTGGTGTTTGACAGTTTAATACGTAAAATAATATAATAATGTTTCGTGGCTTTCTAACAGTTTTATGAGGTATCTTGACAAGTTTAAAATCACGCTAATAATAAATTTCTGTCTCTTGTGTAACCAATCTTTAATTATAAAAATAAAATGAGTATCTAATTAGAGGTAAAAATGTATTATTGTACTAACCCCATACTCCAAATAGTGAGCTCCTTTCGACAGCATTGTGTCTATGTATCCAAGAGCTGAGAGTCCAGCTTTCCATGGCACATAGCTTCTCTCATGAGCGAGGTAGCTGGTAACATCCAATGCTGTTCTATAGTCCAGTCGACCTGTTAGTGCTAAATTCATAGCATCATCCACCAACTGAGCTCTGTTGATGATATGTATCTCCTGGAATCGAGCTGGATCCTTAAGGACCTTGATTAAAAGCTTCCAATTTTGTAAATCGTAGTTTACACGGTAGAAACCTGAAAACCAATCATTTATTGTTAGCCATTCAATTGCAAGTGAGAGAATTAATATTTGTAAACCTCAGTTTGTAAATGTTGATTGCTAAGGGATTGCATAACAACATGGTAGTCAAAATTCCAAAATTAACAGATAGCACTTTTACACTCGATTAACTTTGCAGTATCTTCGATAACAACAATATAATCACAATGAAAAATGCAAATTATACTGCAGTAGATAAGTATCATATTTAAAAAACGTGATCAATTTTTTTAAAGGAGTTCTATCTTGTTTATACTAGTTTCGATAATTGTGATAAATATCTTAATTCGAATAATGCGTAACACTTACATACGCAAATCTAGGGTTCAAAGTATAGTTTATAATAATTTAAGCATATAAGCTGGTTTAAATTCGTATTAGACTCTGCCTGGCGGACATGAACTTTTCTTTAAAAAGTACAATAATTAAAGCGTATGCCTCCAACTTTTCGTTATGCGTACATTTTTGGCGCCCAAATAAGTCGCATTGGCACACAAGATAAACTGCCTATTAATTGATGCAAGGAATATTCTTTCCTTCCAAAATCCATGTTCTATTGATAATAGATTTAATTGAACATACCAGTTTGCTGCACATTGGCTATGAACCAATCTTCGGGTCTCATCGTAATATTGTTGACAGTCAAAGACTTTTCTCCCTTCAGCCATAGTTTCGGTTGTGTAGTCTCAAAATCTTTCTCCGAAGCTGTGGCGTAGGACACCGGGATCCACCATATTGGAGACTTTTGGGTCTCAAATGTGTCGTTAATTAAAACGAATCGTTCCTGCAAATAGACATACGTAAACGTTAAACATTAAATTAACTCGTCGGGTACCGTCAATATAGATACAATTATAGAACAATAGGTTGCGGTCACCGGTGACCGCTTGGTGTTTGACAGTTTAAATGACTGCTGATGTTGATTCTAGTCAATCGTCATACGTTTGGAGACGAAATAATTTCTACAGCTCTCTCATTTGTTAAGTTATTGAGTAATTATATTTAGATTTCTTTCTCTTGTTTTGAAATTATTAATAACAAGGATCCTGAAATTATACCCGATATGGTAAAATGTCACGTACCCAATGCCCATGGTAGTACTTTCATTGGTTTTATAAATAACAGTTGTTTTATGGAAAAGTGAATGAAACTGCAAACAGATCATCCGCTGGTAAGTAATCAGGGTCACGACACGAGACCATAGAACAGCACAAGGCTTTAAGTTATGTATAAATATTTGAAGAATTCTCCAGTTCATTGCCTAATGTTTCCTTTAATTTACGTTACACTTACACCCATAGAACTCATTGTGTAAAATCTAATATGAAGGAAAGTCGTGTTAGTTACACTATTTTTGACTCAAGACCAGCTAAGAACGATTTGGATGAAAGTTGATGACCACCAGGTAAAAACCAATTATCATCGGGAAGATCACGAACGGGAACGGGAAAAACCGGGATTTTGCTCAAGAAGTCGCCGGCAGAAGTCCGTGTTTTATTAGAGGCAAAGTGTTGCATTATATTAATTAACATCTTATTATTATTATTAATCATACCTACACATAAAAATGCCTGCTATTCAAATGACGTTTGCACAAATTCGTAAATTAACTAATCATGGTTGGAATCGCGTCTAGCCATATAATTATTTGATAGCAGCCATGATAATTTACATTTCTAGACTTTTCAAGGACAGTATAACAATTATTATACCGAATATCTTTAAGGCTAGCTTAATACTTGATTATAAGAACTTAGTTTGTTATGAACTGCAGTTGTATTTATTTGTGCTTTCAAAGCACTAATTCGTATAATTATGAGTTTTGGATGTGTTATGAATGACGTACTGATAGGATACATTATAAATGAACTACATGCATACTTTAGTTAGACGATAATTTTAAATTTTTCTTTCGTACAAATATAACGCAGAGAACTTAACGTTTAAAATGTTTGTCAAAGGGATAATAATCTCCGCTTGATTTTTCGATGTCGAGCTAGAAACTGCAAACAACGAAAAAAAAACTTAAATTTTGTGGGCTATCTTGAAGCATCCACATTGTATAAACTCTTTAATGTCATATACGGAGATTAATACATTACATATAAGCAAATAGGCTGAAAAATGAGAATAGGGAAGAATCTCATTTGTGTAAACACTCTAAAACCAGTGAAGATTGTTTTATTTTATAGATTTAATGGGTAAACAACCAGACGGATCACCTGATGGTAAGCAATCGCCGTCGCCAATGGACATTCGAAACATCAGAGGTGTTACAAATACGATACAGCCGTTTGGGGATTCGAAAATTGGGGAGGGGGGTAATTGGGCCTCTGCTCTGGTGCAAATCATGCAGGATCTATTTCAAGCGAACACTGGAAAATACGTGTTAAATCACTTCATACACCAAACGACAACAGGTTTTTACAGAATATCAATAAATTGTAATCTTATTATTACTATATTCTGATAGATGGGTATCAAACGTATTTTCCAAGAACAAAGGCTATTGAATTTTTATAATTCTAATCCTCTGTCGAAACGTCAGCATCCATTTCGTAGTAACGGGAATGAAAAAAAAAATAGGTATAAAATATTCCATTTTTAATTTTGAATATAAAATACCATGCTGGTAACAACTTTAATCATCAAAAAGCAAGTGCTACGGGTAGAACCCAGTAATATTTTTTTGTAATATTACGGAGTTTGGAATTGTGCCCTGTTACCTGAATACTCATCTCTAACTACACGGAACTTATAACATAGATGATGGCCTTTACATTTAATATATACCTACACTTATGCCCACCTTTTTCAGGCTTTATAAGTTGTCACGTTACGTTATGTAAACTAAGACACGTGATCTTAGCACGTCACGTGAATATCAAGATTAGAAATTTATTAGGGTAGGTATTGCACTACAGTAATCTCCTATATTATTACCTACTAACATAAAGAGTTATACAAATTAATAAATCAAATCTTAGATTAGTTGATAATGATTACTAAAAGACGGTTACTGTAATCTGTTAACATTAATTTGTCAACAAAATATCAGTATTAAACACTATCTTGATTAAATTCCGTTTATGAATATTGATATAGGTAAACTAATTATCTTCTTAGGCACGAGGACAATATAAATGTTTTATTAAAGCCACGCGCCTCGATGTTATTATCGCTAGGAGTTTATTACTTAAATTGTGCATACTAGCGACATCTAGTGATCGTTGTCAAGAACTACGTTTGAGTTTTCATATTATTTCAAGAGATGGCGATGTTATGTTGATTAGTAGTTTACTACGTAACATTACCTATTGAGTATAGTTCTATTTTAAAATAAGAAACACTAATCATTAGGTGGTCTAGTATCGCCCGGCAGCAGCAGCAGTAAATTCACTAAGATACTAAACTTAATGCCTTGTTCGCACTATACTATTTTAGTCGAGCAGCGAGTGATTAGTCTAACCTTCTCGCTTCTGTTGCAAAATCGAAGCGACAGAGAGTTACTAAATTCTCGCTACTTGACAAAAATACTAGCATAGTGCGAACAAGGCGTAAGACTTCCAATGGCATTGAGGACAGCTGTTTATTAATACATAAACATTTTCACACAAGCCGATAAAATATGAATATTATTAACAGTTATCATAGTGATTTTCCTTTAACCATTTCTTACCTGCACAACTGAGTCACTTACTTATATAGAAGCCAAACTAACCTGTTTGAAAAGCAAGCTGCCGTTCTCATAGTCTCTTGTTACAGTGAGGACTGGAAAACCAGTTTGAAGGGTCCATGAGTCCATGACCACAGCGACATCTGCATCAAAGTCCCCAGTCTTCCGCGCTGCACTTGTGAGAGCACTCCAGAGGTCCCTTTGTTCAGCATTGCCATACATTTTGGAATTGAGGTAGTTCGTTACTCCGGCGTTGAAGACATCGCTTTTTAACACGTGGTTCAACATTCGAAGTAGTGCTGATCCTGAATGAAAACATTTAGGTTTTTAGATAGAAATATTGCCTCTCTCTTTCCTAGAGAACATTTTTTTTTAAATAGAATATTCCGCTTGAGATCATTATATTGACATCAGTATTTACTGCCAGATCCATTACATTTGCAAATTCTGCAATAAATGTTCGATCTGGATTTAGGTCTAGTTAACAGCAATAAGCCCTTATTATAGTAATCTAAAATGGTATAAACTCAGTGTAAAGAATTACTTCTGAAATTCTTTTGACTTTTTTTTTTTTTTAAGGGGGGAAAATCATCGAATGACTGCTCCCGCCTGGGTGAGGCGGAAGGGAGTGTCAGACTCTTACTGACTAAAAACCACCCCGTTCCTTCTCCTGCACGTCGAGCCGGAGCCCCGGTTACCCGTTAGGTTCTCCGCGACTCCGAATCGGCATCGACCCTATGACTTCAATATGTTGATCAATATATTTCTTTACTCCGAAATGTGGTTTCACAAAAGAATCCTCATTACCTTTTCCATAGGAAATTTTATCGAAGATAGCATCAGCTTCCTCAGAAGCACTAACTTCCACTGATAGTTGGTGCGAGGAGTTAAGAGCATCCAACTGGAACACGTTGTGGACTATGTCTAGGACACACAGTTCTGTAATGTTCCAGGATTTCTCCACCTTCAACAAAAATAATAAAAGAAGACTAGAATTAATAAAATAGGAATAAAATACATGAATTGAAACATAACATAAAATTACGCCTTTTATCCCCGAAGGGGTAGGCAGAGGTGTACATTATGCCACTGTACAATGTAACACCCACTTTTCACTATTTATGCTATGAGTCCCATGTAATAGGGGGTGAGCCTATTGCCATATACCGGGCACAATTCCAGACTCCGTGCTACTACTGTGAATTTTATGAAAAACCCAGTAATAATTTGCCCGCCCCGGGAATCGAACACGAGACCCCTTGCCCAGCAGTCGCACTTGCGACCACTCGGCCAATGATGAATTGAAAATAATATTTAAAAACAATCATGGATTTTAAATTTATAGTTTAAGATAATTGTCCTGATGGCGACCGCGTTCGCACTCCGCGCACGCTGCTCATGAAGAAGCTCGAGACTAGTGTAGTTTTTCTCATTATTTCACGTAAGTAAAACGGTGCTTCAATACATTTAGTACATCTCACGATAGTTTTTATAAACATATAGTTTAAAAAAACAGACAGACACGAAAAAGGTAAAAACCCGTTGATGATTTCTTTTTAAAAACAAAACGATGAAAAAGATGTTACGTACAGCATTAACAGCAACGTACTCGACGTACGTAGCAAAGCCTTCGTTGAGCCATAGGTCACGCCACCAAGTTGGAGTGACCAAGTTGCCGAACCACTGGTGAGCGATCTCGTGGGCTACCACAGTCGCCACGTGTACCCTGTCTGTACTCGCTGAGACGCCTTCCTCGTATAGCATTGATATTTCCCTGAAAATTGTACATTCAATATTTTATGGATTAGAGTTCTAAGTATCTACAGTAATGAAAGATACCTCTGTCAACAAGAAAAGAGGTCATAAACTGAGTTCATAAGTCTAGGTTATAGAGGCTGAACAAGTCGAGCACCTGGTATCACTGCCAATACGGACAGACAATTCAATTATCACATTTCAATAATGTCCAATTAAGGATTGATTTGTAATAAATACTTTGACTTTGACTTTGATGAGACTGTCTATGGAAATGATTATATAGTCCAAGCCGATTAAACAAAAAATTGTTTACTTCAAATGAATTTTAAGTAGTTGTTTGTCAAAAAAAAAATATTTTACATTTTATAAAATCTAGTTCAATTACGTATAAATATTATATGTATTATATATTATAAAAGTTATAAACAGATTAATTTAAATCAAATACAAACAAATTACAAAATTAACCAGCGATTCACAACAATACAGCTACTAATTTGTCGACACAAAACAAATGAATGCATTCATTCATTTAAAACGAGAGACATTTTATGCCAAAGTCTCGGGACGCTACAATAAGCTCAAAGGGATCCCGCACCCCACAAAATAGGGATGATAGATGGTCGTCCCTAACCGATAATGAAGTGTTACGATTCATTCATCCATCAACAGGCTCACCCCTCAACTGATTTTACGGAGCTCATGTTATTTACCGGTACTGGTTTAGTTTCATTGCTTTAGGGTCTTTACGAGTTTATCGATTTTGTTATCTCTCAACCTCATAGAGGGTCAGTGAGATCTCAAACATTCTATCACTAATTACTTGAATAAAGTCTAAGGATTTTAATTGGGTTTTAATAAGGATGCCATGCATTTTAATAACCGAAGGGGCAAGCAGAGAACGCATACTTTTTTTCTTCCGTGATACCCCAAAGTTTACTGGATCTGAACCGGGAATTCAACCCGAGATATTTCACTCAACAGTCATATTTGCAACGGTTTGAAACCAGTCAGAACGTCTGTAGTCAAACTTTTGTTGTTAGTGAAAATTAGAGAAGCATCATCATTATCACTATATCTACTGCTGACCATAGGTCTTTCCTATTGACTCCGAAATCGAAAGTACAAATTCTACAAGTATAGTAATGTTTTATAAAATGTTATGTAGTCCACAAATATATACATACATCCTACTATATAATAATACTAGCCCCGGCTTCGCACGGGTGCAAAATGCATGTGTTATATATGTAAGGTTATAAGGTTAGTATAGGTTATATATATTAGGTTAATATATAGGTAAGGTTATTATAGAAGGTTAATATATAAGGTTAATATATAAGGTTAAGGTTATAAGTTTCCTTAGGAATCACTCTATCTTTAAAAGAAACCTCATCAAAATCCATTGCGTAGTTTTAAAGATTTAAGCGTACATAGTGACAGACAGACGACGGATAGCGACTTTGTTTTATACTATGAAGTGATTATAAATGCGAAAGTTTGCATATTTGCAGACGAAGCCGCTGGTAGAAGCTAGTATAATTTGTTTTAATTAAATCTACAATATTTAGTCATTCGGATTTGCTTTTGTTCGGATTAGTTTGTTTTGTAGATTACCGCGTTCTTTGTGCATAGATAAGTAATTTCTTTTGTAGATAATCGCATGCGTAGCTCTAACGCGGTTAATGGGTCATATACAATTTAAACTTACTAAGCCCCTTTATCCGAGGATTACCGAAATAAAAAATGTATACTTATGGGTAAAAAATAACAATTGGGTAGTATCCAGGGTATTAAAATTAAAAATCTAATTAGTCCGTCAGTTACATAATGAAAAAATATAAGACACGTATTTTTTTTCATTTTCTCGTATTAAGTTGTAATACTTAGATAAAATGGCGCTAAGTTTAGGAGTGGGAGGTCGTTACGTCATAACGTGCAACAAAATATGGCACGCTGTGACGTCATACGATATTTCAAATTATAGATCGTTAGAATCGAAAGTATTTTATTTTGTGAAAAAAGAAATACCGCGTGTCTAAAGCTTTAAATTTAAATTTCACTTTAAGCTTTAAACCAGATGGACATTAAAATAAAATTTAGGAAACTACCATATTACGAGTATTTCAGCAAACAATATATTTTCTTAGCAACAACTAAAATAAAGCCGTTGTTCATTGGTTCTTGATCCATTTTAGAAAACCCACTTAAAGGAACTTAAAATCTCAATTTCTGAAGGACAAAAATAACATATTAACTAATTAATAAATTCTCGTTTACCCAAAACAGTTTTCGATAATCGGAAAATTAATTGATAAATAAGTCTCTACTCATTATCAAAGAAAGTAATTAAGTCTGTTGACAAATACGATTTTTTAATACTATTTTTTTATAATCAAACGTTAAAGCCTGTCTTTATATTTTTTTAAATCATATTATTCAGTAGCTGAGCCCCTATAAGTCTAAAAACTTATTGTTATCTTTTAAATCAATATGGATTTTTTTGTTACTTCTTATCCCCACTAATCTACTATCCTATCTTCAGATAGATTAAAATATAATTAAAATAATTACTTTGACATGAGATAATTTACTTTATACATTCTGATGGACTATGCATTTTGTCTTTTGATTTCTTCACCTTTGCAAATCCCTAATCCACCACAGTAAAAAATGAGTTCCTAACTCTTTAGATTAAAAACAGGTTCTCATATTTGCTTAGACTTAGACTTACCTAAAAGTAAGTAGCCCCCAATTCTCCATGGCACCATTTTTGAAGTCCGGTAATGCGATCATATCAATTTTTGGCAAAGGAAACTTAATTTTGTAATATTCTTCCAAATACTTGAGTATTTTAGGGCCTATTTCTAGAGCGAAAGCTGCGGACTGTACCGCTTCACTTCGGGCCCAGACGGAGAACTTGTTATTGGTCATATTCTTGAAGTCGGTGACAGTAAATGCTACCAGGTACGTAGACATTGGTAATGACTCCGCATAATGATCCCAAGTGTAGTCTGGTAGATTTTCGCTGGAAGTAATAATTAATAGTTAGTACACGAAGTTTTAAAGAGTTAAACCTAGTAGGTACTCGGATCAAAACTTCGTGTTGAAGGGTTAATCTAAGTAACTACTTGGACAAAGACAGTATTGAAAGCTATGAAAGAGAGATATGAAAATTATTTTATCAGAGAGATCAGACAGCAAAGGGTTTTATAACATTCTTGGCAAGTTGAAAGAGAATTCCCATAATTCTGTAATATTTCAAACATTTCTTTAAAGATTGTATAGGTAATAAGTTCTAGAATCTTTATAATGCTCTGTACAGTTATAGCCTGGGTCAATATAAAATATTCACACTTCAATAGCTTCGGTTTTTTAAACATAAATTTTGATTACGTCAATATTTCACGATTACGCAATCAAAAATTCATCCACAAACGGTCGGCTTTGTTTAATTCCCTTGTGTTGGACAGAATTTGCATTTTCGATTTCATATTTATTTTTTATAAAATAACAAGCTGTTGGAAATGGAATCGTTATTTATAATAAAAACATTTAAACCTCTATTTTGAACTAAGATTCAAGTACCAACTATACAGAACATTTTTTATGGGATAAGCCGGTCGGACGGATCACCTGATGGTGAGCAATCGGCATCACCTATGGCCACCCGGAATGCCAAAGTTAGGGTTTAGGAATTTGAGGATTGTTGGAGATTCAGGGATTGGGAAAATTGGGGAAGGGGGAGGACAATTGGGCTTCCGGTAATCTCAGTCACATAACGAAACACACGCAAGCATTGTTTTACGTCGGTTTTCTGTAAAGGCGTGGTTCACCCAACTTAATAAGTTTGAAATAATCTGAGTAATAAATCTATCATTATTTAAAGTATACTATAAGTATTCGTTTCTGCTGTAGGTACTAAAGCATACCCTAAAAAGTGCTTTGTGCTACCACTTTATTTTCGCATATTGACATATTTCCTCAAGTTCCTGAGAAATACAATCCGTAGGTACGGTTAGAATTTGAAGAAAATATCGTCAACTGCGTTATTGGAAAATTGGCCCAAACGACGTACTTAAACTGTCAAACACCAAGCGGTCACCGGTGACCGCAACCTATTGTTCTATAATTGTGTCTACAAAACCGGTACTCGACGAGTTAAACTGTCAAACACAAAGCGGTCACCGGTGACCGCAACCTATTGTTCTATAATTGTGTCTACAAAACCGGTACTCGACGAGTTAATACAACTATTAAGTACGTCGTTTGAGCCAATTTTATATTACATAAAATACGAGAACAAAATCACAAACTTACTGCGGACTATGTCTAACAATATTCATGTTAGAAAGAGACGTCATGTTGTTTGGTCTTGCGATGGTTATGGTGAACCTTGCTTTTAGAGCTGGCTCGTCCCAGCATGGAAACGCACGGCGGGCGTCCATCGCCTGGAACTGAGTGACTGCTATCCATCTGTAAGAAATAGTGTAATGTATTTTGGACTTTATATTTTTAAGAACAAGCCAAAAATTAATTAGCCTTAGTCAATGATGTGTGTGACCATTCAAACCGAAGTATAGTAGTCAACTTAAGTCAACCGATTCCATACTGTCAAATTCCTTTATTCGATTTTTAACTTTAATAACATGTGGTTGGATATGCAATGAATAAAAATGAACAGATCAACGAAGTTTGATCCGCTGGTACTACTGTACAATATTGTCTAATGACACCTAATAAACCTTATTTTATTTAAAAAAATCTTTGAAATTTATATTTTTAAAATTAATGACGGCACGTTTGGTGCAGTGGCTTGGTAACCGGCTGCCGTGCAACGTGGTCGCGGGTTCGATTCCCGCACGGAGTGATCTTAGTGTAATCCAAAAATTGTTGTTTCGGGTCTAGGTGTCATGTGTAAGTGAACTTGTATGTTTGTAAACGCACCCACGACACAGGATAAAACCCTACTGGCAACGGGTTAAAAAAAATTTAGGTCAGAATCAAAATTAAATCAATTCCTTATAGTATCCCAGTGACCGTGGCAGTCAAATTTCGCTAACAATGAGCAAGGAAAGCAATTAAGACATTATTGTTCGTAGGGACACACTAAAGTATCATTTTATTGCTGTTAATCTACAGTTTGTATTCAATGCGGCGTTCTTGTATTCATAGAACGATCTGAGATGTCTCTACGTGACTCGAACCGTGTACTTTAAACACGACCGTAGGATTTGTTAGTTATAATAACTTTGTAAATATGTTTTAGTGACGTATCGAGTGGTTAAAGTGTTGGGCTTTTTGATTACGAAACTTTTATAACAGTACGGTGTTTTGAGCATTAAGATTGTATAAGATTTAAAAAATGACTCGATTCCTAAATACTACAATTTTAATTATACCTTTATCTTGTATTCCATTTCATATTCATTTTATTGTAGGATAATTATATTTTTTTAATTCTACGAATGACATGTCAGGTGTGCTCCTCTCCAAAACTTATGTTGTTGTGCCCGACAGGGTTCACATTGTGTCCTAATTATGTTTACCATCTAAGTACCTAAAACATGTGAAAAGCAATAAAGTATTGAATATTGAGCTGACAAAATTTGTAGAAAATATGTGTTGTTTTTTACTGACTTCAAGAAAAGGATTTGTGCGTGATTATCTTCGTAATTGACTGAATCGGTTCAGTCAATTATCGAATAAATATCGAATACAATTGGCATAATTTCTTTTAAGTAATTTCCTGTAGGCACCCTAACATACAAACATACATAAGCAGAGAACTAGACGTGTGTACTACTAAACTATAGACCTACTTCAGGTGGATTAACACTACTTGAAAATACTAAGTCACGAGGTATAAAAACGACACGTTCGTAAAGGGACTGGTAAAGGTGAGCACAGAATTATCATAATTACCAAAATACGATGATCCATTGGTAGACGATAGATCACCATTATATACCTACTATAGTGAAGAAGAAGGCAGGGGTGTAACAGCACGTGGAGTTATTATAGAGACCTTGTACTACCCTTAATGTGTGTTCACAAATAATTTACACATCGATCGTGGTCAAATACATGCATATTTAACTTCACGCCTGTCTCCCAAGAGGGTAGGCAGAGACTATGCAACGTCAATAGCTACGATTCCTACATACCTCTTTCGCTACATCAGTCATCATCTTTTCATACATGCTCGTTGGTTAAGGGGACTTTTAATTTGTAATCAAAGTATGTTTTTTTTCTTTTTTTTATTATCTATGGTTTTAGGGACTTTTCATTTAGGAACATGTCAGCCCCGTTAGGACATATTTTCTTACATCTAACATACTTAATTAACTAAATTGGTCAAAGTATCACTGATGATGATCTTATATAGGGCAATGGCTGCAGACGAAGTGGGATTCGCTAGAATAGATGAAAAACAACCAACATCTAACGCATTCAAGTTTTTATTCTTCGAATACCAGTGGAGTTACCAAGCCGAGATACCGATGTGGTCTTACATCGGCATTTGAGCGGTACAGCATGACTGAAACAAGTTTGAACTCGCTTTCTCTATGCTTAAGAATAAAAACCCGTAAAATGAAGGTTCCTGAAGCTTCCTATTTAAGTTCTGATTTCGGTTCCAAAATAGGTAGCAGAACCCTTAAATACCTGTTCTTTACCGGTTTTTTGGGACCGTTTTCAATCTCTGCTCCACACTAAATGACCGAAGGAGATCATAGCTTTAGAAAGATGTGAATGTCAAAGTCAGAGAGTGGTGTTGCTTAGTCCGTGTAATGTATTGACCCATAAAAGGCTTTTACAACACAATTATTGAAAGAATTAAGAAAGAAAGAAATAGCCATTTATTTCACTAGTAAACGTTTCTATGTATAGATATAACAGAGATAGATTATTATATCTATGAATGTTATGCGTATGTGCCAAGTGCATCAAAGTGGGACCAGGTCAGGGAGTAGGAGTGCTGACAATGATAGTCTACTTAGCCGTTACCATACATATTAATATGTTCTCCATCAGCCTACCTAACAGAAATTAAACAAGCTGTCAAACGAAGGAATTATACAATTATTGATTTTGTAAACCATTTTAAATTCATGTTTACCAAGGATTGTTATTCATGCGATTATTGCATTCTGGTCGAATTAGAGTATTATCAGATTATAATTTTCGATTATATATTTATCAATGTAGGTATTTAAGTCAATGCATTTTTTAATCTTTACTTTATCAATCGCTTATCTTGTGAAAGTTCTGGAGAAAAGAAATTGCGTAGTAGAATTATCACATCGGGCTAAGAAGGACATTTTTCATTAGTGTTTATCTAATATTGCAAATGCTAAAGTCTATGCTATTATATGCTATAAGCGTGTTTGTAATTTGATTTTCTGTGTGGATATTACTATCTCCGACATAGAAAGCTGCAGAGTAGAATTGGCCATGGTTGCTGAAAAGGAAACGCTTAATCTAACTGCCTTACAGTTCAAGTAATTGCCTTGATTATAAGTCTTATGGATTAATATTTGCAAATTGTATTTCAGGATATTTCCCCAAAGTACTTATATCACGGAGTGTTTTAATCACAACTATTAAAAATGGGTTTACTGCATGATTTTATCGTCGTTCTACCGGCGATAGATACGACATAGAGAATAATAGCCGTATTAATATTATTAATTATTGTTGAGTTCGACTGCCTCGTTGACCGAGTGGTTGGAATTGCGACTGCCGGGTAACGGGTCTCGGGTTCGATTTCCGGGTCGGGCAAATTATTACTGGGTTTTTAAAAAAATCTCAGTAGTAGCACGGAGTCTAGAAATGTGTGTGCAGTGTGAAAATGGCGTGATGTTATGTATGTTTTTGTAATTATTGTCTAATCTATATAACGTTGGTTCAAAGTAATAATAGTTCATATAAAACAAGTAGGTATTAAAAAATACTTATAAATTGGTTTACAGTTGCAGATAAATAAAATGCTGGCAGAGAAAAACAAGAGAAGAAAGGGATTGACATGAATAGAATGAGGGGACTACAGAGATGCAGCGTGGAACGAATGAATGGGACCAAAACATGTGTTGCACAAACCACAAATAATTTATAATTAATTGGATACACGCAGGGCACGCAAGTTTTAAAACGAAACTGCACCTACAGTGGTTAATATAAAATTGTATTCGTGCACAATTCAATATTTTACAAGACCACCCTTAGCTTTAATAACAGCATAAATTCTACCCGGCAAAAAATGTACGAGTTGTTCACAATCCTTTGGACCAATCGCATTCCACTCTAGTCGAAGACATTTTTCTAGCTCATTCTTTGTTGGAGCCGCATGCTTTTGAATTCTCTGTTTCAATAACGCCCAAAGATGTTCTATTGGATTCAAATCCTTGCAATAGACTGGCCAATCCAATATCTCGATGTTGTTTTCCTGCAGCCATGCCTTAGTCTTAACAGATTTATGATAAGACGTATCATCATGTTGAAATTTTACATCATCCATATTTGTATCCCCAAAAAAGGTCGAAAATGATGGCAGTAGTGCAGTCTCGAGGACGCTTATATACTTTGAAGAATTCAGTCGGCCGTCAATGATGACTAATTCACCAACTCCAGTATCGGTCATACAGCCCCAAGCAATAATACTGCTTCCACGGCATTTTGCTGGTACTTGCTGCCCTTGAGTAGCAGGTGGTTTAATAACCTGAACAAAATCGAAGAGAATCAAAATAATATCTTATAGATTTCAAACGTACTGAACTCAAATAAATTTCATTCTTGATAATTGAATATCAATAGTGCAGGTAACGCACAGGTTATGGATAAAATGTTATCTATATTTGCACTTACTTAAAATTTTGATGTTCCTGACCACACAACGTTGTTCCATTCGTATTTAATGATACTCGAATGTTTGACAGCCCATTCAAATCTAGCCCTTATAATTTTATCAGAGAATCGTTGTTTTTCTTTACCCTTATTGGGTTTAAGTGAACTTTTCGGGAACTTTCTACGAGCACGTGTCACTGGTCTCATAATTTGTAATGATAAGCACGTTTATATGGTTGCAATGTTTCCACTGCAAACGATAATGGCAAACTGAGTACAGATTACCTGTAATCAGTATATAATATTGTCAATATTTCATTTCCATACGTATTTTTGTTATAGGTTTTTTCGTAGAAACAAATAGTATGTAAACATACATAACATTATGCCTTTTACCCCCGAAGGGATAGGCAGAGGTGCACATTAAGGCACTTAATGCCACTGTACAATGTAACACTCACTTTTCAGTATTTATGTTGCGAATTCCATGTAATAGGGGGTGAGCCTATAGCCGTATACCACCCATTTTTAAAAACCCAGTTATACTTTGCCCGAACCGCGAATTGAACCTGAGACCCTTAGCTGTACTTGCGACCGCACGGCCAGTGAGGCAGTCTAGTTAGTAGTAGTCTAGCAGTTATTACTGCCATGCTAAACTATTGTTTATAGCCATAATTGTATACCGACCTTGGTTTCAGACTCCCTGTAAATGCTTTTACTGAGGACTTTTTGAAAAACCGATAAACTCAACGCCTTACCCAAAAACCGAACCCCTCACTCGGTATCTACGCTTATGGCTACGTCACCAACAAATAAGTTCAGTTAATAAGTCTTTATCTTTTAAACAGTATTAGGTACTTACTTTCTAACTCCCTTCTCTTCGTAGGAACTTCGATAGAATCCATGTAGATTGTCATTTAGGATACCAGTGTACTTGATGGATAAAATGTACTGCTTTCCAACCTCTAACGAAGATCCTAAGGTCAAGATATGAAAATTTCTCGGAACATCCTCAAGTTGTCTAACTATGTATATCAAATGGTCGTCATCCTTCTCATGGATTCTTATTTCATGTATCGTCAGTTCGACACCATGGAAGGTAAGTTCTTTGGTTTCTTCAATCACTATAAGATGAATTGTAACTTCTCCATCAAATGTGAAATTGCCCTCATAAATGTATGGGGTTATGTTAAGAAAATATCTCTCTGGTTTCACTTGCTTTGGCAGCCATAAGTTTGTTATATTTGGCATAGAGGAGTGAGTTGAACTTTCTAGAGGAATGACAGATCTACTGCTTTCTGTCGTTAAAGGTAACACTAACAGTTTTGATTGGTCACAATGACATAGTTCATATTTTGTGACGTTCGCCAATTGGTCAATTTTTGGACATGCGGCATAGTTGTAGACTAAGAGTGAAGCAGTGACCAGAGCTAGAGCGAAGATCACTAAGATAATGAAGGCGAGACACTTGGAGAGATAGATGCCTCTCTTAGTCTTTGTGGAGTAGTCAGCTTGTGTGCCGTCCATTATGTTGAGAGGCTCGTGGGCTTGGGTCATTACGTCACCGTTTATTCGACCTGTAACAAATAACACTTTATTATTACGTGCTGCACAATGTGGCAGTTTTAAACAATGATCAAAGTAAATTACTGACGAAAATGTTTAACAAAGTTTGTTTAACGCTTGTTAAAGTATAAACAGTTTTTGAAACAAAAAGTTCGATACACGAACTAATTGGAATGTTCACATATACGGGATGGGCGCACGCAACTCCGAATGTTTGTGGAGAGCGCGGCTGAGAGCAATCTCGTCGAAAACAAACTCATCAAAATGTCGGTCTGTTTGTTTGAAAACTAAACCGCTTGTTACGGAGTCTAGTTGTTTGTTGAGGCCTATCCGAATAGACTATTAGGAAGGAACATAAACATCGTATTTTGGGCGGTAGTTGACTTTACTCTCTTATCGTTATACCTCTATATACATACTTGACTCTTCTATAACTGGACCAGATAAAATAAGAAATTGGAAAGACACTCTAATTTGATATATTCATAGTAGGTACGATTTTGCACATTAAGTCAAGTCCTACAGGTATTTGCAAGGGTTATCTAAGTACTACATAGGTAATTATAAAATATTATTAAATTGCTATGACGATGTGTACCATAACGTTCAATATCATATTATCAATTTGCCAGCCAAGATCACAGAATCCTGTCCATTGTGGGACATTGTAACCAATTCGCAACGTCACTATCTACGTGAATATTATAATGTACGTTCACAGCGTACTGACGGTTGAGTATGAATGAGAACGGGTTCATTGAGAGTAAAAACTGATAATGATTACGATCGTTTTCAAATATTAATAACTAGTAAAAAAAAAGTAGAAAACAATGATTTCAATTTATTCATTCCAAATACAATGAATGACTTTGATTCTTAAAGTTCAATGTCCTAAGATCGTTTTTACTTTGATTTGTTTTTTACTCAACTACAAGATGTTACGTCGGGCATTCAGCGTATAAAAGTTGGAAGAAAATTATTCAGTCGAATACACTTACGAAAGACTTATTTAAAATTCCATGAAAACTACGTTGTACAGTTTTCTAAAATTTTTCAGTATAAAAAGGTAAGTTTTTCTGTAGAGTGAATGGCTTGTGGAAACAAGTTGTTGATCGTTAAGTTTTATAAAGTTTCAAGTAGATGCATTGAATTTGTATGTATTGAATATTTAACCGGAGTTTGTCGACAACTTAAATTGACTTGTTTTAAGAGTAAGAATACTTACTTATTTTTTTTTGTAGTAAAGGCTTATTATGCAGGGATATTGACAATAACATTTTTTATGACATAAGCTGGTAAACGAGGGACTATTCATTGATGGTAAGCAATCAGCATCGACCATGGATACCTGGAAGGAAACCTCATACTATGTAATGTCAAAAATCTATCCATATTCTCAGATTCAGGACTCGTACACATAGCTGCGATGCGAATTCGCAACGCAAAAAATTACGATGCGAATTGCTGCGATGCGAAGTCATGCGACAAGGCGTCTCTCAGGGTGACCAATCCTTCGACGATGACCGTCAACCGTACTAAACGTATTTTAAATTGAAAACTGTGCGCTTCTGTTATTGCTTAGGAAATACAGGGAAAAGAAACAAAGAAGATTTTGGGAAGATAAGATTTTGATGTGTGATGCGAATCAATTCGCAAGTTCTTGCGATGCGTATAAAGCTCGCACATTTTTGCATCGCAGTTTTGTGTACGAGCCCTTAGGATTGAGATAAGTTATTAATTTTTGCGTTTAGTTGACACAAATAACGCCCGCAGGAAGAGAAGAGGTGGTGTCAATATATAGTGGAATTAACTAAAAATCGCGGGTTACTCACGTGAATATACTGAGAAAAGCTCTACTAGTTTCGAACCACAGAGGGGTTCTGCCTCATGAGTAGCGTGCGCGGTCGCGGCGATGTTGCGCAGCCTACTACTACTATAATGGAATATAAAAATCTATTTGTATTCCGTGCGGTGTCAAATAAAATAAAAAATATTCCTCCTAATCACGGAGATTTTCAAACAGATGTCTTAGGTTGGCGTACTTAGACGACATAGGTGCAGACGGCCTCACAGAAAACCGTCGTGAAGCAACACTTGCGTTGTGTTTCGTGGTGTGACTGAGGTTACCGGAGGCCCAATTACCCTCCCCTTCCCCCAATCTCCCCAATCCCTGAATTTCCAACGATCCTCAAACTCCTAATCTCCAAAATGCCGGTAACGTACTTGTAACGCCTCTGGTGTTCCAGGTGTCCATGGGCGGGGCCGATTGCTTACCATCAGGTGATCCGTCTGCTCGTTTACCGGTTTATGCCATAAAAAAAATAGGTGGCCTAGATTGACTGCATGGTTGGCGTGGTGGCTAGACAACTGGCTGCAACGTAACTTGCAGCGGGTTCGATGGTGGGAAAAAGTTAAACAAAAAATTAGAAGATAGTCCATTACATTAGATCTTCTGTCTTGTACCTGTATATTGCTCACAGCCGCTCGTTAGTGCATTATATTACACTTATAAAGGCAAGGTTACCTTCACAAACATTAATTTATAAGCCGATAGCATAAATCTAGTACATAATGGTACTCACTAACCGCGTGGCTGTGGTCGTCCTTATATACATAACTAGCTTCTGCCAGCGGCGTTGCCCGTCGAATTATGTATTGTCTAAGTTGCAGTTTTTTTTTTTAAACGTTGCCCCACGCTAGGATTTTCTCCTGTTTCGTGGGTACAAAAGTTCACATACACATGACACCCAGACCCGGAACAACAATCTGTGGATCACACAAAGAGTTGTTCCGTGCGGGAATCGAACCCGCGACACGTTGCGCGGCAGCCAGTTGCTCAGCCAACGCGCCAACCGTGCAGTGCACTGCAATTTTAAATTATACACCAGATGTTAAGTTGGAAGAAGACAAATACATCTGTGAAAGCTACATTCGAATCAGATCAGTAATTTTCATGTGATGCGTCTACAAACATACAGACAGACAAAGAAATTTAAGCACATTTTTTGGTTCTAGGTTCTATATTGATGTAGTAAATAGAATATATTTAATGTGCACAATTTTCATTTCTACAGTGCCATGATATGTAAAGAATAGATATAAGCCGATAACACAAATCTAGTACCTACATAATGTAGCCACTAACTGCGTGGCTGTGGTCGTCCTTACGTACATAATATCTGAACTTATCTATGTATGTACGTATAAACAGTTGAGCTATAGATTATCAAGTTTCTTGCAAAGATCAATGACCTTCTATATCTGACCTAATGCACAATACCACGTGTTTCATTCCTCGAAGGCGTAAGCAATACTTTCAAGTATATCGAAGTGATACCACGGCCTCACAGAAAACAGACGTGAAACAACGCTTGCGTTGTGTTTCATCATGTGAGTGAGGTTACCAGAGGCCCAATTACCCCCTTCTCCGGACTCCCGAATCCCCGAATCCCCCACAATCCTCAAATTCCTAATTCCCACAAAGCCGACAACGCACTTGTAACGCCTCTGGTGTTTCGGGTGTCCGTGGGCGACGCCGATTGCTTACCGTCGCGCATATATTGCGCCGATCCGTCTGCCCGTTTACCGACTTATTACATAAAAAAAAATATCAGCCAGTTTTCACCACCTACGTTATGTTTATGCAATAAATTAGGAGTGACCCTATTGTCGTGCACCATCACTTGCATGATGCAAGTAATGGTGCGATGTATTTAAACAGGAGCTGTTCAAAAATACTTTATCTGAGCCGACAATTAAACATCAGACTCAGACTTCACTGCTCAGCGTTGCGATTACCTGGTTCTATAATCGAATTATTTATCAAAGTTTTAAAATAAGTTTAAACTGTCAAAATAAAACATTTAAATATGAATCTGTTGTCGGAGTAACATGTAAAAAAAATCTATAAACAAACAGTTTAAAGAATTTACTCAAAGAAACCAGATTTTTATCTCAAATAGAAAAATACATTATACTAAAACGTATTTCTTTTTAATCCCCGTATTTACAATGTAAATCGAAATAAATTCTAGATTATATTTCACCCCTTTTTAAAACTTTGACACTTCATAAATCATTTCAACGGTTTCACTAAAACCAGTCTTTCAGGTTTTTCAATGGAAAAAAATGTATTCAAGAGAAATATTATGTAAAGATTTTTAAGATAAATTAATGTTAGATGATGATGCATTTCATTTCTAGACTTGAATTAAATAAAAATGATTTTTGTATAATCATTTTAAAATGCTTTTTTGAAGATCCAAATGAAACTGACATTTGCGTTATGAATTTTAAAAGTTTATTTAAAAGCACTCCTTCTTTATTTAAAAACAAAATCTTTTTGGAAAATGTGGAAATCTTTTTCTGACTTTTACGCATTTTGAAAAATCAGAAGGAGGAATCAAGCTCTTAATTAAGCGGTTACTGACTGACTGACAGACAATGCACAACGGAAACTACTAGACCTAGGAAGATGAAACTACTAGCCGTAGAAAGCCGAAACTGGACGACCTAGAAAGCCGAAACTGGTAGACCCTGGAAGCCGAATCTACTAGACCTAGGAAGCCGAAAGTAACTAATAGACGTAGGAAGCTGAAACTAGTAGAGACCTAGGAAGCCGAAACTAGTAGACCTAGGAAGCCGAAACTAGTAGACCTAGGAAGCCGAAACTAGTAGACCTAGGCTGCCAAATCTACTAGACCTAGGAAGCCGAATCCACTAGACATTTAAGAAGCTGAAACTTATCATGTATGACGGATGTTCCTTGAGTAATGTTGGGGAGCATTTTTTTTTAAATCCCATGGTAACAGAACAATACCGGAAGCATCTATTTGTGCGTATAAAGCCGCTGGCAAAAGTTAGTATTGCATATACTACTTAGCTCATATACTATACGTAGCTCACTAAAACCACCAAACCATATAAATTATCAGCCAGTACCATTATAAAAAAAATAATACAAGTACCTCTATTTAAAAAACGTCTCATAAGAATAGATTATAATAACAAA